GCCATCACCGAGTCCAGGTCATTAGAAGACTGGGCAGCTGATTGTGCTCAATCTATCCAGAAATGGGTTGATACGTGTGAAAGCTGCGAAGAGCTTGCGATGCCTCCATCGCCAACACCCAGCGTCACGTCCAGGGATAGCCACCGAAGGATGGCTAGGCTAGTTGAGCGGCGCTTTTCAAGCCCGGTCAAGGAAGCAAGCAGTCTGGAATATCGGGCAATGAATATGGCGGATGCGAATTTGTTTGTCGACCACTTCCCTGAAGCTCCTAACGCTGTTGAGGAACAGCTTAGGTGCATAGTTGGTGGAGAAAGAGGGGCAGTCGGTCAGCAGCAATCAGTTGAATAGCTGGCGAGACAGTATTGCGAGCGGTCGAGAACATTGGCCAAAAGGTGTGCCTGGAGAAGTCATCTGGCTTCGGACTTGCTAGAGCCACTGAGCGAACCTGGACCAGAGGCTTTGATGTTTTCTGCATCTGAGAAACGTGAGTCTGCGGCTTCAACCCTTTATAAATCTTAAGCAGACACTGATTTTGCTATGTGATAGCATGGCTATCAGAACTTAAACCAACCGCACCATCACCACAAGACTTCATTCCCCGCACCCTGGCCTTGGCTCAACAAGGCGTGTCGCAACGCTCAGATCCTGCTGATACCAACCCACTCACCTTTCAGGCTCAGTCAACCCCCTCAATTCTTCCGAAAACACCCGTATTTAGCATGCCATCCACCACTCGAAGCGACGTCTCCTCTGAGAGTCCAAATGGCCTCACAACACTTAAGCCAGACATCACCCTCGGTCTGGCGCACATATCCTTCACTCGCATGCAAAGAACTGTCTTAACAATGTTGCAAAACGTATCCTGCGTCCTAAGCGAGCCATACCAATCGCAGATTGGCCTCCGCTTCCCTTTCCTAGTAGTGGAGAATAAAGGTGGCGCCGTAGGTGGGAACATGCTCGGGGCGCAAAATCAGGCCGCGGTTGATGGGGCTTGCGCTCTTAACATCTTTGGAGATTTTCAAAGCATTGTTACGCGAATCATGTCCCAATACAACCGAGACAATTCAGGCACGGATCAGGGGGAAGATGTCAGCATGTCTACGATTCTGTTTTCTCTGACAACAGAAGGGCCCCTGCACGAGATATGGGTACACTATCGGGTTGGTGATGAATACCATATGACGTGTTATCGAGCATGGCGCACGACGCGACGCGAGGATGCAATAAAATTTGCGCAAGCATTGGCCGGTATTGTAGAATGGGGTAGGACTAATTTCAGGGAGAATGTTGTCAATATGCTTAGCCAGATTGAAGAAGCTGTAATTGCGGGTGTACTAGCAAGTATGGATGCATAGGTTCGGCAATGAAGACACGTGGAATGCGGGAAAGAACAAGATACTGCATTTTAACTCTCTAGTAATGGTTTCAGACTTTATTGACCTGGAGAGGCTGCGGAAACAGCTGTGGTTTGTGTCGGAATTGAATACTATGTATTGGCCTTGTCCCTCAAGCAAGAGTTTGAGAAGTCTGCCGTTATACTAAGACATTTGCTGAAAAGGTTCATGGGCTCTCGCTCTTCGTACGTGTCAACAGATGAGCAACAGTTTCTCCAACAGATGGGAAATCTAGCACCTCTTCACTACTGACAGAATACCCCCTCTTTGAGTATTCAGAAGCCAACGCAGCAGCGGCGATTCCATTGCCCCAGATCTCATAAAACGGCGTCTGATGCGTGAATCCAGGATGTGACTTGAAGTCAGCTCCTAGCACCGACTCCCAGGACGACAAGACTATCTCTTCCAAAGCCTTGGGATACTCTGGCAGTGGCGGCGAGTCCACTTTCATCTGCTGTAGACAGTCGACTGGAACATCTTGGGGCACTGTCACACTGGTCTTCGGGAGGGTCTCTGAGATCTGGCGTTCCAATACATCAGGAAGCTGCTGGTATACCGTGGTAAAGTAGTCCAGCACCGTCTTGACCCAGTCTTTGCAGAAAGTCTCAGCCGAATATCTCAATTCAACCTCCAACTCATCAGCCTGAGCGAAGGTTTGCAGCCAAATATCAGCCTTGTCATGCTCCGGCTCATGAACATTGAAGTCGCACCCCCCGTGTTCAGAGAATGGAGGATCAACAAACGCGAAACTGAGATGGTTAACTATGGAAGAGAAGTGCGTCCACCGAGGCCAGTTGGTACACTTCTCTATGATGCGGTGGTGTCCCAGGTTGCCATGCTGGAGCGACTTGAGGTAGCTGCTCTGGATCGAGCTGAGAAGTGAAGCGGTTTGCCCAGTCGACGAGACGTTGGCGTGCAAAGACAGGACATTCATGCATGGGCCCAGAACCTCTGAGATCTTGGCCATGGGCAGGTGTCGTCCAGAGATGATGTAACCAAATACAACGGAGTCCTGACCTGTGAGTTTCGACAAGACTATAGACCATGCGGCGAACACGGCGGTTGCGGTCGTGAAACCAGAGGCGTTCAGGTCTACTAATGGAATGGAGGCTTTGACGACGCTGTTGATGGGGCAGCTCACGCTGGGGCGGGTGTGGGTCCTCAACTGGCTCATTGAGCTATTGGTCAGGGCTTCTTTCCAGTGGGATTCGGAATTGGTACTCGCCAGGGATGCTTCGGCGTAGAACTTGGTGAATGGGATGACCTCCAATGGCCTTTCTTAATACAAAGCTTCGAGTGATCGCTACAGCTTGTCGAGACTGAGTGCATCGTACTGAGCGTGAGAGATCCGAAGGATCAGTTGGTGCATGCTGTCTGTGGCGTCTTTGACTAGCGTGAATGCTACCAGAGGGTCGCCAAGTTGCGTGTGGCGCTTCATGTCTTGCTGGATGGTCTCTTCGACATCCTGATCCATATCCTTGCCGTCCACTGAATCCTTGACAGCGAATTGGAATGGGTAAGCCTTGGATTTTAAAATGACCTGGAAGGCTTGTCTTTCCTTGACAGAGAAGATCGTCCGTAGGATGGCGTGTCTTTCGACGAGTTGCTGGCAGGCGTTTCGCAGCTTGTCAGTGTCCAGCGGCTTCTTGAACTTGAAAACCATGTAATCATGCCAGCCATGGGGCTTGAGCAGACCCTGGCCGATACACCAAGCCTGCCAATCTGTCGCTAAAGCGATCTCCTCAACATCGTCTTGGGGGAAAGTGGAGGCGATTGTACCTATCGTATAGGTTGAAACTTCACTCCCTGGCTTGTTCGACTGGTCATTCACTCCGAAACTTGCCACTGCATTCATGGCTTGGAGAGTCCTGTGCTGCAAGATATCTTCGATAGATATACCAACATCACCCTTCCGTGCTTCTGCAATGAGCTTGATGCACTGAAGAGAATCTCCACCAAGGTAGAAGAAATCATCCTGCAGCCCAATACACTACGTAGGAATGCCGAGCACGGTGGCCCAAAGCTGTTGCATAGCCTTTTCCTCTGGTGTCTCTGGCACAGCCTTTTCCAAAGAGCCAGTATGCTTCACCAGCTCAATCAATGGCATCGCAGCAGCTCTTTGACGCAATAGCTTCCGATCCAGTTTTCCAGACGCGTTCAATGGTCGATTCTCGAGCTCCACCAGTCCGCGTGGTACCATGTAATCCGGAGCTTTGGTCGCAAGTCGCTCTCTCAAATGTTTTGCCTCGGTGGAAAAGTCTCCAGATAAACCATTGATGAAGGCCACGAGCATAGGCCCGTTGCCATTCGCTGGTTCCACAATCTCCACCGCAACAATCACACCAGGTGGCAGACAATCCAACATGGCCGTTTCCACCTCCCCAAGCTCGAAACGCTGCCCGTACAACTTGACACGCGTGTCCTCCCTCCCCACGATCTGCACGACGCCATCCTCCATATACTTTGCCAAGTCTCCCGTCCGGAACAACCTCACCGGTCTATTTTCCCCTCTCTTCTTCGCCCAGGCAAGCGGTTCCTCGATCAAGGCCTTTGCGTTTGCTTCGTCGTTGTTCCTATATCCCTGGAACAGTCCTGGGCCCTCGAAAAGCAATTCTCCCGTCTCCCCAATCGGCGCCAACGTATCCGCATCATCTACGTCAACAATCCACGCACAACCCCTCATGAACTGGCGCGCCCTGCACTTCTTCCCACTTGTGTCGATGATGTTGGCAATGCCCACACCTCTGTCATGCCAATCGCCTCTACGAGCGACAGTCGCGGCGCCCAGATGTCGATGAGTCGCTGGGTCACAGGCTCGCCGCCTACAGTCAAAAACTTCAGGCACTTTACATCGTCCGGGCTCAAAAGATTGAGTAACGTGGGCGTAAGCACCGTTCTAGTGATTTCCTTTCTGGTGATGAAGTTTGCGATACCACCCATGCGCTCTTTCTCCGGTGGTAGCACGAGTAAACCTCCGTTGCACAGCGTCTTGAGGGTCGTGACAGTGCTGGCGGCGAAAGCCTGCGAGGCGAAATTCAGAACGCGGCTCTCTGCTGCGTAGCCATGGCCGTGGACGACGTTGGAGACGGCTCCGCTGTGCGTGTGCTGAACTACTTTGGGTAGACCTGTCGATCCGGAGGTGAAACACACGTAGGCGAGATCGGTTGGCTGGTTGACTGGCAGGCTGGGGTCTTCATTGTCTTTTCCAGGATCTTCGGCGCTATCAGAGACGCTGCTGCATATCTCGGTCACGTTCGCCACGAGCTTGAGATCCGTCCCGGAGAATTCTCGACTAACATCACTCTTGGACTGACTGTGGCTAAGCACGCGTGTAGCCGTTCAGTGGGGTTACTGGGATCAAGCGTTGTATACGCCATGCCTGCTTTTGACACTGCCATCATGCAGACGACCAGCCAGGTAGATTTGTCGAAACAGATGGGCACAATCTCATCAGAGGTGATGTCGGTGAGTATGCTGCGGAGATGGAGAGCTAAACGAGTGGAATAATCGTCAAATTGGGTATATGTCAGGGTTCCATCGGGGGCATCCACGGCAGGGTCTTCAAGGGATTTCTTGACTTGGGCGGAGAACACTTGGGTTATTGTAAGTTGAGTGGTTGGTGGGAGTCGAGCGTTCCAGGACCATATCCGGTCTTCTTCCTCTTGAGTATGTAGTCCGCCATGATCTGGAGAGAAGAGTTGAGGTATGTGCTTGGCAAGGGTGTGGGGTGTGGTAATGGTGGGATATAAAAAGATGTGATAATGATACGGAATCAAACGCGAACCACCTACCTAGGTAGGTACTTATACACATTTTTCCCTCTGCCCCGCACCACGTGTGGACCAGATTCTGACAAGCAGGCCTGGCGGGTTAACTGCCCCAATCAAGTTGGCAAAAACCCCAGCTGCCCTTCTCGTTGTGGTGTCTCAAGTAGTACCTCCTTCACCGCTTACAACAACACTCAAATGAATCAGCACGACCCTATGGCTCGTGAGGCGAGCGCGCACACTTCACCTGGCAGTACCTCTTTGACTGTCCATCATTAGTATAGATATCACTCCAGCCACATCTCTAGTCATGAAGGCCTCCGCCTCTTAGTTAAATTCCGAAATATACTAATCACAGGAACCAAGCGTACATGCCCCAGGTTTCTCCTATACCAATCACAGAATCCGAGTGTCAACGGCGGATACGCTCCCCTCACGCCTATCAGTAATAGATTAATTTAAACAACCCGCAGTACTGCCGCTGCCGCTGCCTCTCGTTTAGAGGGAACTCGACGCGTAGCATGTCACTGTCTCCAGTCCCCCGCCAACCTACGACCGGATCTCCGCTCTTTCCGTTTTCCGAACACTTATCTCGGCCGGGGCTTAGACATGGCAGTGTGGGGTGTAGAGGGGAAGAGCTACGACGATAGCCGGTGCAATGTCGAGCGAGCTGATACTACACATATAGGAGTGCGAACTTAACGGCGCTAGCCCTAATTTGCCTTCCCAAGTAAACATCATAGGGTCCTTTTCGTAGCATATTGTAGTCATTCCTCACATAATGCGGTATTTAAGAGCCTTCAAATACATCCAAAGTGCACTGAACGGATGATGCAAGCGGACGATGGGCGAAACGAAATCAAAGGAAGTTCAATGCATAGGATTTGCATAATTATGGTTTTTGATTCTGTCTATGTGTCTGCAAAGATATTTTTAGTTCCCTTGTAGCCCAGCTATCGTATCTTTCAAAATGCTCCCCCATGATATCATGTGCTGCCCTCCCAAGATGGCCATCAAAAACTTTTGCGCATCCCTCGATGACCTGCACTAAGCCACACTAGAGACAGCCATATAAAGTCTCCTCTTCTCAGGCAGCACTCCTTATCTTCTTCTTCCTCACTGTCTTTCTACATATTTACACTTTCTATAAAACAGGCGGAATAAATATGAAAACAGCGGTCTTCCTCCTATTTCCAAAAAAGATGACGTCGGAGACTATGCTGTGTGAGCACGGGCGGGTCTCAGGGAGGCCTTATAAATTCTCTCTCTTCCAGAAAGGTTTCCTCTCTTCTTCTCTACTATTCCTCTATATCTCTACATTCTTGAAAAAAAACATAAACACGAAAGATGATGAGCTGTCTTTCTGCTTTTCTAAAACATACACGGAACGAAATATGTTGTGTCTCGCCACGGGAGATGGTCAGGCATACCTCAGATCTTCCCTCTTTCCAAAAAACATACTCTTTCTAGAATACCTTTCGCTCAATGTATGTCGCTTTCCGCTCTAAGAAATAGTTAGGCATGCCTCAAATCTTCTTTTTCTGTTTCCCATCTCCTGAAATTACATTCTAAAAAACAAGTCGCGAGATATGGGCCCTTTTCCCCACTTCGTTGTTCAAAAATCAGAACATACCAGCGTATGTGGCGACCTGACCCAAAAGATCGTAGACATCACGTTCACGTCTGGCTGTCCTGCGACACTCCTATCTTACTACGAAAAGTTCAAACCTGGAAGTGTGAAGTATATGTGCTCGTCTTCCTCTTTCCCTCTCTTTCTGAAACTAGCATCGAGCAAAGACATGTTTTCCTCCAGACCTGGGACCTTGAAAAATAAACATCCGCAGCTGATGTCTCCAAACCACTGAAGTAATTACCCATCTTACTACCTTGCACCACTTTCTTAAAATAAGTGAGAGGTTGAGACGATGGCTTCCTGCCGTCCAAATCTATCAATACAGCGGCATCCATTCTATGTCTTGTCCGCCTTTTCTAAAAATTGATCGCATAAACATTCATGACTTCCTGGCCTGGACTTCTGAAAACTATCACACATAGAAGTTACGGAGTGGCTGTGTCTGTGTCCGTGCGCTACTGCAAGGTGTATAAAATCCCCAGTTGCCTTCTACTTCTCTCTCTTCCTTCTCTACATTCAAGACCTTCCTTCTTATTCCCAAAATTAAATAAGACCGACGCCTTGAACATGTGCCGCGACTGTTTTTAATTTCCTACCTCCATTTTACCTTCTGACTGAAAGGATGCACACTTAAAATACAGAACAAACAAACTGGATGTCTGCGCCGGAGCGATTAAAAATACCAACAAACCGATGACATGCGTCTCCTCTTCCTTCTCCTTCCCATCAACCTTTCAAAAGTTGGGAAGGATACAAAATGGTCTCTTCTGGTTGTTGTTTCTAAAATTAATAATAAGACGGACCATGGACGGGTGTGCCTGGGGTGCGCATATAACAAATCGACGATACTATAACAAAATGTTCTCTTCCGGTTGTTGTTTCCGAATACAAAAAAGATAATATCCAGACGCTATGTGTGCTGGTGTGCCTGTGGTGCGCGTATAACAAAAAAAAACGATAATTCTGTGTGAACTCGGGGGGTTTTGTGTGTGTTCTGCCTACTCGAAAGTTTCCACTGAAGTAGCGAGCTTTATTCGAAACGAAAAACCAAGATGTACATGGCCAAACGAAGTTCGTGAACAACACCATGATCCAGTCGGCCAGGTATGTATGCTAAAACCACTCAACACATGAAACCATGTATTATCTATATTCTTGCATGCCAAAAGACGCGTTCCTATCCTACCATGTGTCCACACTCCCTTCAAATCTCAAAAACACCACCCATGCCCACTCTGACATCCACGAAATCTGGTCTCCACCCCTTGAACTGCACCAATCCTCTCTTAACTTCCTTGACCCTCTCCAGCCTGTTCTTCGCCTCCTGTTCCTGTGCCAACCTGAACGCTTCCTCATCAATCTCAAACTCGTCGAGGCTGCCCAAGCTCTCTTGCCGGGGCTTCGTCTTACTAGCCGCGTCGCTTCGCCGATGTGCGGGGGTTTGGCCGGTGAAAGCTGAGATGCCGGATTGGATGACGTCTTGGAAGGAGGAGTGTGTGCGGTTGGGGAGGGCTTGACGAGACGGCGCGCCGGAGAGGTCGACGTCGTCGAAACTGTTGTAGGCGTCTGGTTGGCCGTCAATAGAAGGCTGCATGTCGCGGCGACGGTCGCGCCATACACCCCGGCGCAGTTCAAAGTTTTCTTCCTCGAGTTCGCGGACTTTGGCAAGGAGACGGTCGCGCTCTTCGTCTAGTAACTCTTGAACACTCGAATCTTCGATTGAGCCCAGGTCTGCTTTGCGACGACGCTGCTCTGCTTCTCGTAAGCGGGCATTCTCGTTGCTGAGACCGGTGATGCGAGTCCGCATTTCGGTTGCCTCGCGCTCCACCTTCTTATGTTCTTGCAAGCGTGTCTGGTTCCGGGCATCGTTGTCGCGGTGTAGTTGTGTAAGAGTCTCAATCTTCTTCTCGAGCAACTCGGCGCGCGAAATGGAGTCTGAAGCCTTGCGATTTGCGGTGCCCAGCTCGGCCTCTAGTTGCGCAATGCGTGTTTGCGCAGAGTCGCGGTCTGAGCCATCCTTCTCTGCCTGATCGCCTGCCTTGTCCAAACTCGCCTTGAGCTCCTCCAGCTCAGTCTTCGTTGAAGCTGCCTCTTGCTCCGCTTTTTGTACTGCGGATTCAAGGCTTGAGATCTTGGACTGGAGCTCATTATTCTTGCTCGTTTGTTCTGACAACTGCCTGTTGACATTGGATATCTCCAGCTCGAGTGACTCAATGGTTGCGGATTTGGAAGCGACTTGTGCGTTCAGATCGTCAACGGATGCGCTCTGGCTCGGTGATGCGGTGGCCGTACGGCGTGAGGATTTGTTGCTTTGCGACTGTGCTTGTGATAATTGTCTCTTCAGCGATTCGACCTCTGCTTTCTTTACGTATGTTAGTATATTAAACAACCTGTCGCACCCACCCCATATGCATACATACCAGCTTGTCAGCCTCCTTGCCCTTCTCAACCGCAAGCGCAACATCTCCCCTCCCCTCCCTGAGCTCCTCTAGCTCCTCCTCGCCCTTCTTCCATCTGCTTTGACTTTCCTCAACTTCACCTGCGAGCCGCTTATTCTCCCTTTCTAGCTCCTCGATTTTCAGCGCCTGTTCCCTGTAAACCTCACTCGTGATCCCAGCACCAGGCGACAGAGGTCCAGCAGCAGCTCCTGAGCGATAGAAAGACTCGGATCGTTGTCGCGACTCAACTGCGACTGAAGGCTTGCGTCCGTGCGACGACTTGGGTACGGCTAGCTCGGAGGGCTCGTCATCGTCTTCTGGGGGCGGCTCCGATACGGTTGTTGCTTCGACAGGCTCAGGTTCGATTTGTTCAGGCTGGATCTCGGTAGTTGGCGCATCGGTCGATGCTTCGGCTTCGGTTTCGGCTTCAGCAAGAATCTCAGTCTTGTCTTCCTTCTTCTTTCCGCCGGCTTTCTTTGCTCTTTGCTTCTTCAATTGCTCGACCTATGATGACGGCATTAATATATGGCCGGTATAAAAAGGAACCATAGGCTAAAAGAAGGATAAGGGAATAGCTCCTATACATCCAGGGATATCATAGGTGTCATCTTCCCCCTCTCTCATAGCGCAAGGCGCAAAAAAGGAGTACCTACGCGCTTCTTCGCCGCCGCCATCTTCTCCGCCTTATCTTTCTCTTCGTCCGCCATTATGATTGGTGATTGCGATTATAGTGTTCAGCGCCTGACTTCAGCGTGGAGCTCTCGATTATGGCGGGGTGTGGAGAGCTTCGGTGATGCCAACTTGCTCCGCGAAAGCGCGCTAGTGCCGAATAATGCCTAGTCGCATTACGAAAGTCGATGAACACCATGGCTTCAACCATGGCTTCGAAGCATCCAAGTCAGCGAACAAGGATACGTTGCAATAGTCAACACCATGGAGCCTGTGTCTTTACTCTTAGCTCTCTAGGCCTAGACAAGCATAAGCCTCCCTATAGTCCTTCAAGGAATAGCAAAGCATAGATACCGAGGCACAAAATACATACATCCATGGATACCTAGGGGTATAGACACCATCACATCGGCACAGCGCCGTCAAGGTTCCGACATTAACATTCAAAATTACGATCCTAACACAACAGATCCATAACTACCCACCTATCCACTTGCCAACCGATCCCCATCCCACACCATCATCCATGCCCCCATCACCAACCACCCCGATCCCTCCACAACCGGCATCACCCACCCCATCTCCCCAGCAACAACCGCAACAACCAGCACAGCCTCACGCCTACCTCCCCATGCTCAAATTCCGCAACGACGCACGCTCCTCATCACCTTGAAACGACCCAACGCACGAGCCCAAACCCACCCAACGCTCGCTCGCTCGCTCGCTCGTCTTCGTATCCGTTACCGACTTGTAACCGAGTTGCTCACGAGCGCCGTTCGCGCCCAAAGCTCTCATAAGCCACGCCGGCCCTCCACATGCCTCGTGTTATGTAAGGTACCCGTTTATGGTATGTGTAGCGCGTGAATGATCTCCAGTGCATTGTCAGCATCATCATCATCCCGCGCGTGCGTGCGTTGCGTTGCGTGCGTGCATATAGGCTGTTGTTGTATTGTGCAAGAACTCCACTTGGCTGCCTGTGCGCGGCGGCTACGTGTGTGGATTGATTGCGGGATTTTTTCTTCTCGGTGGTTGCATGCAGCTCATAATACTTGTATGTATAGGTGAGTGGAGTAACAGCACAACAACATACGTTACATACGTGAGTCGTGAAGTGCCGAACCGTTCATCCCAGCTCATCTTACCAGTTCGCGCCGAGACACCATAACCGTTTCATACTGATGACACCAGACTGGCTACATCCAGTAAATGATTGACGGTGTTAGAGCTTGCGACGAGCTGCTGACTGAGGTCATGTGTGTCTGTGTCATGGAGTCATGGGGAAGGGATTCCAAGGCCTGAAGCACTGGGCAGCGGCTCGTGGGGTTAGCCGTTGTGCCTGAGAAGAGCACTGGCCTCCCTTGGTCTGTGTGTTTGTGTCCGTGTGAGTGTCTACGTAGATAGTGGGCAGCAATGATGACAGATGACTTGGTTTAAATTTGACAGCGGGTTACTGCGGGACGAGGTTTGGTTGATCGCTCCGTTCGTCGCAATTTCCACGCCGTCCGGAGACGGCGCCGATAAGTGAGATAGCAGATAAGTTGATAGTGGGTAAGCACGGCTGAGAAGCGAAATGCGTCGTGTCGCAAACATACTATGGTTGAAGATCATTCACGGGACAAAGTTAATTTGCGGAAAGGTTGATTTCAGTGGTTTTCGGGAGGATTCTTGTTTTGTTTCAAAGATTCATTTCAGTTCAAATTCACTATCTGATTCCATCCTTCACAAGCTCGGGGTCTACAGATCAGCCCACGAGATTGCTCCATGTCCACATACATGCCCCATCACTCGCACAATGCGCCGTGATTCATCCCCCAAAAGGATTCGGGCGTATTGTATATACTGCCTTCATGAAACGACTGTAGGAAATAAAAGAGTTGTTTTTGTCGTGCCGTTCTGCCAAAGAGGGGCAGTATCGCCGCTACTAAGCGGACATGTCTTGTAGAAATCCGCAATGGGGGGGCGGTATAACCAAGCGTATGGCCGTTGATAAAGTATGATGAAAGTTGATGGATGCAAGGAAATGTAAAGGAAAGGCGTGGGCGGTGTATGTGCCGCCGCAAACAAAGAGAACCAGTCGAGATAACCCAGATGATGTCCCACTTTCATGCACAGATGCAAATCAAAGGACCTAGATACCCGTCTTCCCAGTGCTCATAAGGGAGAATATGCTGTTGAAAAGGAGAGTAAGAAAAAGTCCGGTTCGCGTATGCATCGCAGGTGTGTAATGCGCCATTAAATAATCATTCGCTGGTAAACTCCATGGTCATGCGAGAGAAAGGTGAGGTGATGTGTGCTCATTTGAGCAAAGCCATAATGTCGTAGTGGGGTACAATTACTGGCAAGCAACTGCGGGTCGTCGGTTCGGAGGTAAGGCGAAGATATGCAAGACATGGAAATGTCAGACCAGATGGCTGCATTATTTCGGGTTCCTGGCGGGAGAAGAGTCCCGAGTGGTGTTTTGGAAGAACTTCCTAAGTCTGCTTCCAATGTTCTTCTTCTTCTTTTCCTTGGGAGCTTCACGATGCTCGGATTGCGGTCGTTGCTCAATCGAAAGCTTGCTACGTTCGCTGAATGACGATGAAGACGTCCCCATCAGCCGAGACAGACTAGCAATGCTAGAGCGCTTGCGACGCCGCGACTCGATCTCGCTAGGATCAGAGGACAGTGATGATGTGCGATCGCCAATTCTACGCGGGCTGGCAAGTGGGTAAGCATTCTGCAGCATTGCGCTCGTCATTGTTGACCTAGACGACGTCAAAGAGGGCACCTCGGTAGAGATGCGGACTTCAGGACCCGGTTCGCCAAAGCGCGGAGATGGCATGACAGGGTAGTCTGTTATGGACGAAGCTGCAGTGCCTCCACGTGCTGTATCGAATGAGATTTGACTGGAACGGTAGTCTGGCGATGAGAAGGACGATGCAACGGTATCAGGCGTCATGATGTTTTGCTGATGGAGTGGAAGGGAAAGGTTCATGACAGGCTCATGTGGCTTTGGCGAGTCTTCGCCCCCATGAGGAGTAACTGTAGAATCGGAAGAGTGCGTCAGAGAAGACGTCCGGGGTTCCTCGTAGTCTTCCACAACTTCGATGGGTTCAGGCTCTGGAAGTTGCTGAACAGGAAGCGCTCTGGGCGATACTGGCTCCGATGATTCAGAGTCAGCTGTCTTAAGATTCCTCTTGATACAGAGTCCGTCATTGAAGTTCCAGTTGATCGCGGGTCCGTGCTGTTTTACCTCTGCTTCGACGACGGCAATCTTTGGCTCAGGGGTCCCGACAACAACAGAATCCGACTTGGTTTCCTTGGTTGGAAAAACCATGGTCAAATCATCCTCAGGCTCCTCCTCCTCGAACACGTCGTCCATGGGAGAAGCATTCGCAATTGCAGATGATCGGTGCTCAAAGGGTACCAATTCAGGCGCGCTCTCCGTCCTTCGATGGCTGGGTGCAATACCGCTGGCACTGTGCATAGCCCGTCGATGTGCCGAGAAGCCACGTTGGCGATCTCGGGGGCTAGTACCATTGGGTGTGTTGAAGGGTCCGAGTGCTGCATCCAAGTCGATTACCGGGCTCATAATGTCAGAATCGACACGTGTCAAGGCACGGGGCTGCCAAGACGCGTAGTTTGTGTCGATTTTGATCCTGGGAGTAGAATCCTCGGTAGGAGAGACGATCGTGACCGTGGTGTCTTCGTCGAAATTGGGCTCAAAATCCATCTCCGAGTCGTCCGATTCGTCAGCATTGAAGGTCGCCATTGGAGGTGGCGTTGGGGACCGCGCCTTTACCCTCTTGCTGTGCTTTCCCTTCCTGGTAATGATTGAATTCGCCCAAGACTTGACCTTACGCGGCTTGCGGCCCATTTTGCGCGCGACGCTCTTCGGCTTTTCGATAGCTTCTGCCGCCGGTTCGTCAACAGCCATTGGAGAGGTGAGTGGGGAATCGAAAGACTTGGAGAGGGCGGGATCGGATGCGCTGGTAGGGAGTGTTGGATGCGCGCTAGAGTCCCGGCGAGAATCCTTGTGGAACAGGCTCCGTCGCTTGGAGGGGAGTTTCGGGGTGGGAGTCGTGGGCGAAACGGGAGAAAGAGCAGACACGGGTCGTTTGCGATCGGACGTGTCGCCATTCATACGGCCACTAACGAACATATCCAACACTGCTCCAGCAGTGCTTGGTCGGCTGTCCTCATCCTCGACTGTGTGTAATGAAGGGCAAGGGCGTCCGGATCGAGCAGGTTGCGGGCTGCCGCAGCCTACGATGGATGAAAGACTGTTGGCGGCCGAATGTCCACGCAGTGACATTGTAGCCTCTGTTTCGGAGGATATAGTCGAAAGCGGGCGGATCGTCTCGATCCTATCAGAGAAAGTGACCCGAGCCCTCGATGGTGGCCGCGCGCCATCCTCGTCTGAAGGATTCTCGCGTAGTGAGGGCTGAGAAATGGACCTGTTGAACTTGTGGCCTAGCGGAAACGGTTTGCCCTCGGAGGGTGTGCTGGGCGCACTGCCGGTTCGCGAGGGTGTAGGTCCAGGCACAGGAGGCTGCATAATTGTAGTCAGGTCATGAGAAGAAATGGCGCCTGAACGACGATGGGCGTGTCCACGGCGGCCTGCAGGAGGGCCTGGTCGCAGTGTGGCGCTCGGCACAGGCAATACATCGTCTCCTTTTGTAGGGCTGCTGCTCATGGGTGCGGTTCCGCCAGGTCGAACATCGCCACCGATGAATTCGCTTCCACCCCTTCGGTGTCCATGGGTCGTTTTTGTGGGAGTCACTGGTAAGGCCAGTGTAGCGGGTGACTGTGGTGGTGAGGGCTCCTTTGCTGGCTTTGCTGCTCCTGCAGGGTTGAATGAAAAGTCTGGCAGAGCGTTAATGGACTTTTGCCTGCGGTGCGGCATAGATCCTCGGCGGCCTTGTGGATATGCTTGTAGCGACATTGGCCGTCCGTTTGCGGGTGCCGGTTCAGAAGAAGCTGTGTCTGGTGCTCGCATGGGGAAGGAGAATTCCGGGTTGGGGATGAGCTCAATGGGGCCTGCATTGGCATGTTGTCGGCGCTGGTAGAGCGGAGCGCCAATGTTGGACTGCGACTGTGTAGCCTGGTGCCGTGGCAGAGCAATTTGCGCCATTGTGAGATAATTAGCTGCCCTGTTGGACGCCGCGGGCTGCGACAATGGGCTTCAGAAAATTAGAAGTAGTACAGCCAACGGACGCGCAGAGAGGTGGCTAGGATGCAAGTGAGATTGGCAGCGTGCGTTCCAGGGACAGCTTGCCGGACCCGAGGGGACAGCGTATGGTTGGACGGGTGTCGGTCGAGGTGCTACAGGCGTGAGACGAAACAAGCGCTTTTGAGGTACAAGTGCCGACGCGATTACTACTGACGCGAAACAGTCAGCACACACAAAGGTTGCAAATTGCAAGGCGTCGCAACAGGTGACGCGAGGCAGGCGGCGAGGTTGCGTACAAGATGGCAGCGGAGGAGTTGGCGACGATAATCGGCAGTCGGTCGGCGGCAACGGGCGTAGTAGTCGGACGGAGTGAAGCCAGTACACCCAAGGATTAAGGAATGACGAAGAAAAATGAGCGGACAGATGCCTAGAGTCGCCTCAATTAGTTCGAGTTCGACAATGGGCTCCAGAGAGAGTTGAAGAGGCGCGACAAGGAGGGCGGGGAGACGTCGACGGGGTGTATAGGCGGAGTGGGTGAGAGACGAGCACCTGGGCAACCCGCGCTTTTGTCGGTCGTTCCTTCCCAGGTTGTCTGCGCGCTAGCGACGACCCACTATGGCTTGCAGGGATAGCCCCGTTCGTGCTTTCTACCCATGCAAATCGCTGGCTCCCTCGTAATTTCGCGCCTGATCCACACGATGCGCTGCTCAGGTACCAAAGTACCTGTACTGCCCGCAATTCCTTTTTAGCACACGTTCAGCGACCGAATTTGCCCACCGCCTGGTAGATGGCTTCCGACAACTGAGTCTGGCCGTCGGAGATGCGCTGTGCAGGACCACCCTCGCCGCCCGCCTCACGACTGACTGCAAGGCTACCATACCAAGACAAGACCACGGCCGAGACGACGAGCAAACCCACTCTCCCACTGTGACTCTTGCGCGGCGTCACCATGTCTGATGTAGCCGTTCCCCTCGGTTGGCCAGTGCCTTCTGCTGATAGCGTGCCTGAAGATGCCTGTTGTCTGTCTAGCCCAATGTAGTCTTGCCAGTGCCAGTTCCCAGTTCCCAGTTCCAACTTCTATCAACGCTCCTCGCCTCACTGGAGCGGGACTACGCGATATGCATCGTCTTCGCTCTGCGTGCAGTCTGTCCATCATCTCCCAGATGGTCTTGGCCACCTGCCGCAAGCCGACGCCGACCCCTCTCTTCGCCGTCGTCTTCCGCTTCCAGCCTGCGCCATCGCATCGCACAGCGCGGCTAACTATGGTCCCGACACCGACCTGCTGCTGATGCCCGTATGTAAACAACATGGCTGCCCGTCAAACTCAAGACGCTCCGGCCTACCCGTCACTTCTCACGCTCACCTCACTATCGTCGGCCTCGAGACATGAGGATGGGCACCGAATGTTTCACCGTACCCGTTCAGCGGTGGGGCTGAGCAGCAGCCCCAGCCTGTATAGCCAAGCATGAAATTGATATGCCACTCGGGCCAATCGACTAGACTACGCCCGTTTGATCCCAGCTATGCAGGGGCAATGACGCCTCGCTATCCCCTTTTGAATTGCGACGGAAGCTCGTCCTCGTCCGCCCATAAATAGGTTATGATAGACGAAATGCGGAGAAGCGGCAAGGAGGCAGAGGCAGAGGCAGATGATGTTTGCCATGTCACTCTGACACCGTAATGCTGATGATGCTGCTGATGCTGATGCCCAGCGCCGACCGTGCGAGCACGGCAGTGCAGCGTGTGAGGTTGATGAGGCATGCATTCCTGCAGCGCGCGACTTGTACGAGCGTGGGCAAGATAACGGGGTCGGCAAATATGTACAGTACCAGTGCCAGTACGCGCACTTGCTGCAGGAACGCTGTGCACATGTCCGACAGCCAATCTGGCCTTTACTTGCCCTCTCCTAATTGCCCGCCAGGTCCTGCATCAGGCCTTCGGAACCGCCTCAAGTTTCCAGCCAGCATCCGTGTCGCGACCAGCCACACCGGAGACTGCCGACTGCTGCACCTTTTATGACAGCTGCCTCTTGGACTTCTCCTTCGCTGTTTGTTTTGGAACTTGGAACTTGACACTTGAGCCTCCCTGTCCTGTCACAAAGACTCGGACCGGGGTGAGGACATGACATTCAAATGACCCTGCATGCGCGCAACTGCGACCCTCGTTCGATGCATCAACAACAATCCAAGTCCTTGCGACAAGGAAAAATTCTCCGTCATGTGCACCTGCATGCGACATGACAGAGTACCTATGTATTGCCATTGGAAGCCTGGACATGCTCGGCGCTCGTTTTATCTCTGCCGTCCGCGTCCAACCAGGTCCACCCTCCGGCTCCAAATCATAAACATCTCGACGTCATCACCATGGAGTACCATGTCTCCCGCTTCGCTGCATCATCTTTATGATCTCCAGGGTCCATAAAATCTTCGGTGCAATAAGCCGAGCAAGTCCCGCAAATTCTGGCAATCTTCATTTTCCACGATGCATTTTTACCCGCCGCTTTTGACCAAAAAATATTGGTTTGCCGAGTCACCAGCATGCTTCCGGTATACGAAAAAGCGATCCTGCAACAAGTCCGAGGGTTATACGAACTATGGCGCCGTTTGCCTCTAGCGATCCGATCTGTGGAGCGTGGTGCACGCAACGGCTTCTCTCGTGACGTCTTTCTCGGCGCTGCGTTTGCGCCGTCGAACTCTAGCATGGACTTGCTTTTTCAACCCAGACCGGCGGTGAGGAGGACCGGTCTCGTACAACTGAAAGCGCGTTCCTGTTGCGTATACACCACTTCGGCGGCAGCCTCTCTGAACACGAAGCCGAGTGCGTCTGCAAGTCGCGCGAGGACACTTGGTGTTATTTCTGGACAACAGGCACGCAAGCGCAAACATGGCACCCGAGCTTTTAGCACCGCACCGCCACGTCGCTGCTCCACACGCCGCGAAACCCTCGGCGCCAGTCTATTGGTGTGCAAGCATCAGGAACCTTTACACCTCCTCGTACGGTAAACCTTGAGCTGGCGTCCGTTGACGTTACATGTCAGTGTCAAAGAAGCAATACGCCAGCAACGGTCTCAGTAATTGCATAGCAACCACTTCTCACTCGCGACAGGTATAGCGGTGGCCGGCAAATGTAACAACCGAGTTGGCGCCAGCCGGCCGTTCACCCTGTCCTGGTTGGCTTAAGTCACAGCTGTATTGTTATGTGTGCAAGGTTGTCGGATACCGGACAGGAGAAAATTGCGAATCTCGTTTCGAGTCTGGTATGGCTCTTGAGCAAAGGCGAGATTGCCAATTTCCGCCATCCATTTTTTCCCATTGCCAGAAAGGGGAAGTGCCATGAGCATTTTCACTAATTCGGCCAATCGATGCGCGCAGCCATGACTGCGCCTTCCCTGCTGAGCCGGAATGGACACGTGATCCCTGCTCTGCTGCCACCTGACCCCTCCCTGCCATCAACACAGACAAACCTGATACCCGAGCACCGCGATCATGGCCCATTCTCTTGCTTTTTTGTCGTCATCGTGACTTGGACGGCTTTTGCTGGCTTGACGTGGCAGCGACACAAGACAGCGGAGAGCAGGTGCGGCACTTTGCCCTTTCTGCCCTTTCTGACAACCACTGCCAGCGACGTGGATGTGGACGTGGACGCAAACGCAGACGCAGACGTATTGTCCCGCCTAGACCCGCAGAGCCGCACACGCGCGACTTTCTGCATGTCTTCAGCCAACCACTAAATCTCCCAACAGAAAACACCTCATCTAGTTAGGAACCACTTGCATCCTCAAGCTCAAGATCGTTCGATGGCCGCTTCCCGCTCGCTTCCATCTGTAATGGACGGCTAGGCCACTGTTTTCCCCAGACGAACCAGATGCTCCAACCCCACACCGAACTCGACCACCTGAAACCATAGCGACCGGTGTACCGGCAGTTCCAGATGCAGGAACAGGCCCAGTTGACCCAGTTGGGCCTTTCCAGACCGCCTATCGTTCAACGCCTGAACATTCTCCATGATAGGCGTTTTTGCCTGAAGGCGCACAGCTGAGCACACCATCAGCACTTCGGCAACCTCCTCGTCTTTGAGTTCTACAGGTCCGAGCAGACATGCAGTAGCCACTTTCAAATCATCAGCTCTTGATGTGGCCTGATGGGGAGAGCGCTATCGCTTACGGACACTATAAGCGTGTCTAGATGGACCGCCACCTCGCGATAACGTTCGCTGCCCTCCATGACGCAGCCGAACACCCGTCGCTTCCTGCTTTATCAACCGTCTAGGCATCCCATTGGCCAGGGCATTTCTCCTCAAGCATAGGTCGAGTTCAGCGCTGCATATTGCTCACACCACGCGGTTCCCTAGTGATAAGCAGTAGCGATCTAAAATGTTAAGCGTCGTCACCTGAGCCTACGGTTCATGCAAGGGCAGAACCGGTCAATCTCAATCATACAACATCATGTCTCTAGTCATTCGTGCATGTCAGACTTCTGTCTTGACCTGCATATATTCTTACAAAAAATGCAGCCACACCGTGCACGACAGGACTGGACATGTAAGGGTTCTGTGTGGTTGCTCTCCGACTGGCCGGGACTTTAAGCCAAAGATCTCGAGATGTCGATGCTGCAGCGTTCTCTAGTGCATGACAAGCGTGCAGACTACTGACTCTATCTGTGTTGGAGGGTTGATCTACATGTCGATTGGATCCCTATGGACCCTTGCGCCGTCTAGGCCCAACAACTACAGGCTTGGAAAGGCGTTCGTTGAACACCAATACGAGGTGTAACTCAGCTCAAGCAAAGACTTACAAATCTTGCAGTACCAGTAGGCACAGCGTCTATAGCTACGCGGCTATAGGCGCAAAAGCATGCGCGTATAGGCGCGAGGGGTAAGCAGCGTCATTCAAAACAGGTCTATGACACAGCCTAGCCAAAGTTTTCAATCTGTCACAAAAGCAAGTAATGGATTGCGATCTTCTCATAGCATCTTCACATATACAGACGTCGGCTTTATCACGGCGACATGACCCAATGGGTGCGACACCTGACCGTCACTAGGAGAGTTCCCGGCAGCCGTGGCGCTGGGTTAGATTTCGCGTAGCATTGACTGGCATAAGGTTCTCATCGGCCAACAAAGACACAAGCGGCATGATGAAGTTTGTTAGCAAGTTGATTGAATGCGCCACTAAAGTCTTTGTCCACCGAACCTGCTCCTGAGCCCGGGCGCTGCGCCACCAACCACCTTACTTCTGGACCTCACGCGTATGAACGCCTAGGGCGTCCAAGATACTAAGACCACTTGTCAACCTTGTGAGCGCTAATGCGTCGTTCACTAGAAGAGTCTTGGGAAGCGCTGACTACTGTGACTGTTGTTGGTGAATGAGTCAGCAAGGAGTAATTTGACAGACCACATTCCCACGGTCGTCCTTCAGAGCTGATCGCCTGGCATCGATTAGAGTACTTGTCAGAAATGCCACCTATGCTCCAAGCTGCGAAAGTGACTACAGGATGTTTGCGGACTGAAAGCGGACAAAAACTCGCATCGCAACCCGCAACTCACATGACTTGACTATTCACACTGGGTAATGTCACTTCCGTCGCACCCTATGTACCGTATGTACATCCTTCACACCCCGAATCTATAGCACTGCCACAAAAAAGGGTCCCTCCCTGCTCCCAGCTCAAACAAACGACACAGGGGGGTTCCCAGGAAAACACTTCCTTCCCGCCTGGTGTGCGCGGGCGCAAAAAACCTTCGTAAACATCATGTTCCCCTCGGATGTACCCTACGATAAGCAACCCGACCCGGACCGGACCGGAAATAGAAACGTGGGGTGTGCTTATTGCTGAAATTGGATTACCTCGTTGCGAGTACGGGGTGTGTGTGTGTGTTGCGGCATTGGCTTGTGGGCTATGATCGTCGTCGTTCGTTCGCTCGCTCGCTCGTACTGCTTATGTGAGGTGAGAAGTAGCGATCCAATGGGGGGTGGAACGAGGGGTCTTGGTAGATTGGCGGTACGGTGATATGGTTTGGTAATGCTGGTCGTGGGGGGCTATTTTTGGGAGGGGAGGGGGAGGGTAAGCAACGGGGTATGTATGGGGGGCGTGGTGTAAGGTTTGGATACGTGAGGGATTTGCTTTTTTTGTACGTAAGGTGTGGGATGGGTAGGTTTGATGGGGTAAGGAAAGGGGGTGGATGATGACTGGATTGTCGTAATGTGGTATTACGATGGGCTCGATAGTTGCTTACAGTACAGGGTACTGTAGATCACCAAGATTTCGAGACGTGGCTTTGGCTTATGGGATGAGAACACGGGTGATTGACGACTCAACATACCCTTTGCGTGATACTTGCGATAGAATACAATACCCATACTTTAGATTTCTCGGAAATCCGTAGTGTTGTTGGCGATGGTATGGAAAGGGGGTCGTGTATCATCGGAGTGTTCGGATACGATATCAAGATTTCTTTACCATGACTTACATTTCCCAGCATGAGAAATTCTCACATGTATAGCAATTTTTTTTATTTCTTTTCATCTTCTCCATCTTGTACCTGGTACATGTCTACGTAATCCCCCCTCATCCCCTCCATCTCCTTCGTCCATCTCTACTGCGGCTCCCCACACATTTGACAAACCATCAACCACGGCCCCTTTGTTGCCCAAACTACCTTGCCGCCACAGTCCTCACACGGCTCTTTGGAAGCAAGCATGACGTTGCCGTGTTTATCCTTTTCGCCTTCGTCCATGTAGTGGATGCCATGGACGGATTGGATGTATCCGGTTGTTACGACGGCTGAGATTGAAGTAGAGGTGGAGGTGGAGATGGGGGATGTGCTAGACTGCTTCTGTGATGAAGACATGACTGCTGTTGATTAGGGTTTTGAAAGGGTCATGCAGGGCAGGACGACTGATTTTATAAGTTCGTAAGTTTATCGGTGGCTGCTGGTTAAGACGTGGCAGGTGGATGTTGTGTGGGTTTCGGTTAAGGGGCTGTTGGTGTAATGTAGTGATGAGATTGTGCGTGGTGTGAGAGGCGAGTGTTTACAGTGTTTGATTGTTGGCGTGACGTGTGGAAGGGGGGAGGTGGTGGAACACTGAATGGATTTGTAGTTTGTGGATTGGATCATATTGGGTTAGTGCGAAGGTTAGTAGTTGAGTCGTTGCGCGGATATGATATAGGTACAAGTGGAGGAGTGAGAGTGAGTTTGTGGGTAGTGAAGAGAAGGCAGGATGGATACGTCGAGTTACGACATTTCTACCTGTTAAGACCTAACCTCAGACCCCATGTTTCCCGGAGTTCTCTAATCACTCCATTTGCACTGCTATGAATACAAACCAACATAGATAATATGGAATTTCTATCACATGCTGAACCAACCCCCGTAACTCTTCTCTCTCTTTCCACTCTACCTATCTAGTTAGGAAACCCACAATCCCTACACTCCACCCCCGATATTACCATCCTCGAGAAACGAAGCGTGGAATCACAGTTCCAGCACTGTCCGAATGAGCCGTGTTTTAGTTTATCGTCGTCTCCGTCTTCTTCGTTGGAATCGGGGTCTGAGCAGCAGCAATCAGAGTCGGCGTTGGAGTCGGAGATGTATGAATTTTGAACTGGATATCTCGCTGCGTCATCTTGCTTGGCCTCGTTATCTTCTTTGTCCTCGTTTCTCTTTCTGATTAGGTTGGGGTTGATGCTGCTCTGAGTGTGCAGAGGGAGCTGGGATAGGTGTGTCATCGTAGCGTCTGAGTAGCAAGTCATATTCGCGTGGATAATTGGAAATCAACTGTGGTCTTGATGATGTTGTTTGACGGAGAGTATTGTGGGCAGTAAAAATGGAGAATACAAAGTTTTAATTCTACACTACTGTCCTAGTACATATATACACTGCGAAAATGTGACATATGCCCACGCTTTTAAAGTATCACATCCCCCCACATCATAACTAGTAATGAAGCGCAAACTCCATGAAGTCTAACAAGAGGTCTACATGGCATCCTAGGTCATCAACATCTTCACAGTCTCCACCACATGACACTACGTACAGCAAACGAGCGTACTTCTCTTGTACGTAAACCTGTGAATAAATCTTGCGCTACACAAGTGCCGCCGTCTACGACTCCTTCATTCCAGAATCATAGTTACAACTCACATCAAGAACACGCTGAAGTGACGTGTCTACTCATCACCGCCTCACTCTCTTCGGCAAACCTCTACAGACATGCCACCTCTGGGATACGTGTAGCGCACGGAACTTGATAATTTGATAGCGAGAATCGCGTGGGTTGTCTATATGTATCTTCACATCCGCTCTTAAGACTTCGCTATTCCCTACTACTTACTCCAGTAATACACTCGTTATCTGCGATATCGATATCAATACTACGTCCAAAAACTTTACTAAACTTCACTCCGTTCCTTATACGGGAAAAAACATGATGCACAGTTCTTCAAAAGGCAAGCAAGGCGGTAGGAAAGAAGGCGGTAAGAGAATGGATGGCGGGACAAGTGTGATGACTGGAACCATGGGGGTAATAGGAAAGAAATGTAGTACATGCGGTACACCGTTAGTGTGTGGGAACTTGGGAGAAGGTAGGAGGGGTTTGGGGTGTAGTGAGTGTGGGTTGATTGGGAAGCCGTGAGTCGAAGATCATGGGGAGAGAGGGGGTGACGACGACGGATGGGAAGATGAGGATGAGAAGGAAAAGGCCGTAATGGCGCTCAATGCCTTGTTCACTTAGGCATGCTAATGAACGGATGAAATCCTAGCGGAGTTGAACTAGAACCTTAATTTGTATTGTATATACACGTTCATACAACTTTGGTATCATCTATACGGTCCAAACCCATCCATCATCGTATTGATACAGGCACGCCAGGCATGATCGATGTGTCGTGGAAAAGAAAAGAAAAGAAACAAGAGAGTGTAGAGGTTGTCTAATCAATCCCTCAACTCGGCAACGGCGAAATATCCTTTACTCTCCACCACACCTCTATCTTTAACCACTGCGGTGTATTTGACAACCCATTGAGGTTCCACATCACCCTTGAGCCCGCCTTCATTCCCTTCTCCTGCTAATACACCAGAGCCATCCTCGCCACTCCCAAGTATCTGTCTCAGCGTCCCCCTCGGCAGAATGTTTGTGCAATCATTATGTGTCAGCAGCTCAATCTGCTGCTGCTTCGCATACAATATCAGCGGTTTCGGCACCACGCAGCAGTCCCTAACGTTGATCTGATTGACGCTTGGTTTAATCTTTGTGTGTTCGAGGAAGCGTGTCAGGCGCGCGACACCGAATTCCGCGATGCCGAGTTTAGAGACTAGGCCTTCCGATTGTAGTTTCTCAAGCGTGCGCCAGGTTGTTATCATGGTTTCTATGTCTTCGGGTGGGACGCCGGCGTCGAGACAGTCGCCAGTTGTGTTCTCGTTGGTAGATTGTGTGGCGGAGGGAGGAGAGGGCGGGTCGTCGTCGAAGTCTGAGTCTTCGTCGTCGGCATCGAAGGATACGCCGGGGAAGCTGACAATTAAAAGATCTATTGATGATGTACCCAGCTCCTTAAGCACTAGCTCTATGGCTTCTCTTGTTTGGGCGCAGCGTCGGTCGGCGGGTATGTTTGGGAGATAGAAGAGCTTGACGGTGATGTCGTATGATTCTCGGGGCTCGGTGAGGGGTGAGGGCGTGTGAGTTGGGATGTATAGGGCAGAGTCGGTGTTGGTGGTCCATGTTGTATAGTCTGGTTTTGAGGGCGCGGGTGTGGGTTGGTGGGCGGCGAAGTTTGCGCGGAGAGAGGATGTGAGTTCTGTGTTTGACTTTTCGAAGAATGGCCGCCGTATCACGGAAGGACCACCGGACATTGTGTTTCTGGGATTGTTAGGTGAGAATTGGAGTGGGTAAATACAACGTACGAGGTGGATAGTATGAGCTTCATGATTGCGATCGTGGAGTCAGTCAGCGATTGAGGGGGTAAGTGTGTGTCTTTCCAAGGGACCTTGTCGTCTTTCTAAACTCTGAGGTGGTAAGTGCAAGCTGTGTCAGCTGCCAGTGAAGGTTACGATAGCCGGCCGGCGTTTGTCAGCGGGTGGGGCGCGTTTAGCAAAAAGATGGCGCCTGGCTCAGAAATCGGATCTATGGGATATCGAGGCTTGAAGAATACAACAGCAAAGTTCAGGCGTATCGGCGCATTCATACGAAAGATGGGCTGGATTGGTGATAGCGGGGTGCTGATGAAGGCGCATTGACGTTTCTCAAACTCGCGGGGCTGGCCTGTGACCACAGCGCGCCGATCGCTCAACTTGACATCTTTCCAAGCCGGCTCACGCTACCAGCTCCTCACCGCACTCGACATCATGACAATCAAGTACGATAGCTCATTGCTGCCCCTTGCAACCGACACGTGATGCTAATAGCTCCAGGTATCTCATCTTGCTCTCACGGCAGGGCAAAGTGGTTGGTCCCTCACCCTAAACCGCAAAGTCCCCTGCTGAAGATAGACGGTAGCGCCTAGCTAAATGGTTCACCACACTCGCGCCCAAGGACAAGGCCAAGATTGTCAAGGACGTCTCTCAACTCGTCCTCGCCCGTCGCACGCGCATGTGCAACTTCCTCGAGTATAAGGGTCAGTGGGTCCGGCAGGGGTAATGGCAGCGCTAGGCTTACACATTCTTCCAGACACCAAGATCGTATATCGCCGCTACGCCTCGCTCTTCTTCATCGCCGGCTGCGACTCGACCGACAATGAGCTAATCACGCTCGAAATCGTCCACCGCTACGTCGAGCAGATGGACAAGTACTACGGCAACGTGTGCGAGCTCGACATCATCTTCAACTTCCAAAAGGCCTACTTCATTCTCGATGAGCTGCTGCTTGCGGGTGAGATGCAGGAGAGCAGCAAGAAGAACGTACTGCGGTGTATCGGACAGCAAGACAGCCTCGAGGATATGGAGGTGAGTGAAGTGTGATGACTTTCAGGTCCGCTTCGCCGCACCCATAGCGCCAACTGGCTGACGCGCCCTGTCGTCCAGGCCGAGGACGACATCATCACCAAGATTATGTAAAGCGTACGGAGCACAGAATTACACACCATTTTGGCCTCACACTGCTTCCCGACCGTCCCAAGAACCCTGGCTGACCTGGCCTCGCTGCCTCCAGGATGCCGATGATTTCAAAGGCCGGCTTCGCGAGAGTGGCATCATGTGAAAGCACACATGTGCCCCCGGATCTGGATATGCACTATACGGCGTCATCGGTTTGGAATAGACGCATAGGTTGGCGATGCGATACAACGGTTGGACGCGATACGGTTCACGATCCACCGATGACAGGCGTCAGCGGAACGAGATCACACGGCGCAGGGATTCGGGTCATTGGAGAACGCACTACCTGCCATCCTGCCTTGTAGAGCGGATGGCGGTAGCTGTACTCTATCTACTACAATCAAACACATCCGACTGGCGAGCTCTGCTCGACACAGCTAGGTTTGACACCAGGTTCATGGGCTCGAACGTGATTACACATCATGCCATCGGGACTTCCACCCTTGATTTGACTGTCCTCTCCTTTCATTTTGTTGCGTCTACTAATCTCGTCCATCTAGCTGCGGGTGTCGCTCATACCTCTCGCATTGCACTTCGTGATAGCAAACGGTTCGGGTCAACTCTTGACCCTTTATCCAGAACCTTGCCATGCATACATCAATGATACGTTGCCGAATCCATCTGGATTCACCTCATTGCCAGGCGACTGTGAGGGCCCCATACAACTAATGCCAGCACTCAACACCAGTCGCCTCTCACCGACTACCCATCCTGTCTTATCGCCAGCTGTTGTTGGTTGAGGAGGCCATGTCTTGCTGACCAATCAGCATGGATGACCCGACACACATGTCGTTGTTAGCTCGGCGACACCGCCAAGCGGACCACCTTCTCCGCAACCGCGACCACGTCGTAACAGGGACACCGCACACCACTATCACGCCACAGCCTCACTTATGTCCACTGCCTGCTAGACGACTGTCTGGCCGAACAACAGTACTCTCTCCTCTCTGCAGCCAGCCTAGAGTCGTGTCTACTCGTTGTATCGGTTCGCGCAGGCTATCCCCTCCCGAACAAAGCACACCGACTATCAGCAGCCCACCGCGCTGAAACGATTCCTGAATACTGGGAATTACACACCATACCCACAACTCAACCAAACGACAAGAGCACACATTTGGCATCATGAAGGTATGTACCCGATGCGGTGAGGTGGAGCTGAGCGATGATGTAACTAATGCGGCCACCAGTACCTCGATCTGTGCGCCCTCCACGAGGTGAATCTCGCCCTCAACTTCGACACTCAAGACACTGCGATTATCGGCGGATGCGATCTGTGGACCGTAAAAGCGGCAGGAAGCGACAAGAAACTATACAAGCGCATTGAGAAGACGCTCGAGGAGCGGCACAAGGACCTGTTATCGGCGGTGGCGGGGCTGTCTGAGCAATCGGCCGCCCAGTTCGCAGACCAGCTCGACATCTCAAGAGACACTCCGTTTGGCAGTTTCAGCGAAGCCGCTAACCGCCATACCTTTGCCTACCTCATCGCGACACTCAATGCGACGCACATCGACTACGATTTCGCGAATACACTGAACCCTGACGAATTCCGCCGTGAGACCATACACAGCTTCATGCACAGGGTCGACACTACTATGTACTACCTCCGCCCGCAGGTCTACTCGGCCGGTCTACCTGCAGGTGCCGTTACACCGCTTGGCTCACCAATATGGAGTCCACGCAGTTGGCACCTCCTCGACACCGAGATGGACATGAACAACTGCGAATACTACGCTTGGGAGCCATCAGACGATCCGTTTGCTGACGACGGTGCGATATGGAGCCACCACTTCTTCCTCTATAACAAAGAGCGCAAGCGAGTTGCGTACTTTTACCTACGTGGCGTATCCGCTCTCTCCAACTCACCCAGCGTCGCAATGTCGCTCATGTCCAAGTTCAAGGCGTCAAAATACGAATCGAGCGCCAATGCGGGCAGCAGGAAGCGTGCCGAATATTGGCTCGGTGACCGTGCGCGGAAAGGCCTCGAAGCGTACGGAGACAGTGATGAACTTGACAACATGGTCATTGATCACCCAGGCGAGGTCGTTGATGCTGAGCAACAACGTTACCTACCTGTGAGAGAGATGAGTATGGACGCCGAGTACTACGAGAGTGACGAAGACAGCGATGTCGAGTCCCTGGTAGGCAGAGAGCGGGCCGTGAGTAAAGTGCGGACGATGAGTGAGGGTGTAGTGGAGAGGATGGAGCTTTAAGTCTCCGTGCTGCGTCCCTTTGTTTACCCTTTTCGTCTTTTGCTCTGCTAATAATTTAGGCACATGTCGGTGATGAACGATGGCGATAACAATGAGGCGACAACTCAACTTGTCCACCGACGCCTTCTTCACGACTGATGTTTTCTCGTTTTCGATTTCACGATGAGATTTAACGAACGACATTTCGGTTGGCGTTTTGACTTGTTTTGTTTAGATGGACGGCGTTCTATCTACTACTGATGTTTTTTTTCCTCTGTTTGGTCATCTCTTTAACCCGGCTCGTTGAGAAGACGACATGGCATGCATAGGCGTTTACGGTCGGTGGGAGCGACGCGTTCAATACGCCTTTTTTGTGCATATCGTCTGAGCCTTGAGATACCCCCTCTTGCTTTTTTACGTTTGCGTTTTCAGCTCGTGTTTGTTTTATTAGTGTGTGGGATTGGTAATGAGGGATGATTGGGATGACCTGCCGGCGGGATCACCGGTGGGATGAGAGTGTGGGAAGTAGATGTAAGCGAGATGATTTAATTGAATTATATGGTACTTCAATCTGTTTTATGTGCGCCTGTTGTGTGTGTGTGTGTCATGTATGGTATCAAATAGATGGGTGGGCTAATATTGGTGAATTATTCACAGCAAACTCGATTTTTACCGTCGTTGTTGGTAGGCCTTGTACGATCGTACGGGTGAATAACAACAACGAGGTTCTTCTGGTGACTGGTATTGGTATTGATCTTCTACGAACATAGCTGCTACGAAGGTACACCTAAGCTCTGCGCAAGGTGGGCCGAAGTCGGGCCGAAGTGTCAAGCAGCCGACGTCTCTACCGATACTCACGATTCGACATTGGAAGTCTTTTCTTTCTGGATAGCTAGTAACTCTGCTTGTATCGGTAGTGACAGTGTGTGTAGCATCAAACATCAAAGCTTGTCGGCCTCTGCACCCATCCATCTACTCGGACTGTCAGCTTGTTGCCGTCAATAAAGCGTTCAAGAGCGCGGTTTGGCGATGCCTTCGTGAAGGCGTCAGCAGGATTATCGTCACCATTGATCCAGCGGATCTCAGTGATCTCGCGACGCTCATATGATTGACGCAGCGCCATGATGTCGATCATAAGACGCTTCTCCTTCGTTGTTCCAAGCTTAACGAGGCACTCGTACAAGGAGTACGAGTCTGTACAGACAACCAAGGGAACCTCAGGTATTCTAAGTCGTTCTGTGACTATTCTTAAGGTAGTGGCAATAGCGATGCCTATATCAAAGCCGTTGACCATGCCATAAATCTCAGAGGCTAGTACGCTCCTTGTGACGCGCTTACATTTTGTAGAGCTGTAGTGGATTATGTTGCCTTGGATTGTGAAGGTGTTAGCGTCAATAGACTCGTTGACGAGCATGAGGACAAAGCCGAGCTGTGAGCTGAGGTCCTTGTTGTTGGCAAAGGAGCCGTCTACGAAGACCATCAACTTAGCCTCCGTGAGATTAACAGTGATGTAACGGAGGCCACGATCGAGGTTCTCTATCTGCCACTTCAGGCGCTTGTTGAGTGCCTTGATGTCCTCATCTGATGGTTGCTGCGCCTGAGCGGCGACGGACAGATCGAATGACGCCTCTGGTTGGCATGTTGATGCGATGTACGCTCCGCGGGCGCGCTGCTCTGTGTACTGTTGCGCGCGGTCGGGTGCCCTAACGTCCACAAGTTTGATCTTTCCTCCTTGTCCTTTCTGCCTAAGGTTCAGAATTGGTTTGCTAGCGTCGATCGTGAGTGTACATCCATTAAAATCCAATTGAATTTCTGGTGTAAGGACAGACTTTGGTTTCGATCTAAACTCTGCCTTCTGGATCTTTTTCTCTTCAAGTAACGAGAACGCGGGTGTCCCAAGCATGAGAGTGTCATCTGTTTGCATGCCAACGATGCCGAAGATGCTGGTGTCGCTGTTTGTGATTAACAGGCATGGGTCGTACGTAGATGTTGCCATGTCCAGTTCCTTGCAATGGTGCCCATGATAGGTTGTCCACCAGTGGACTCCTGCCTCTGCGATTCCATACAGTGGCTTGATCACATGGAGTAGCGTGCCCCTCGGATATCGTGGTACCAGCTCAGTAGGAAGATGTGCGAGTATCGTCCTCTTCAGGGTTGTCTGCGCCTGGGGATACGCCTGCGTGATATCACGGAGCTCTATGTTCATTCCGCGTTGTACCATCTCGGGCGCCAGCGACATGATCAGGCGCTGGCTGCATCGCTGGATGGTTGGAGATTGCGTCAAGATAGCCTCTTTGCCGTGGTCCTGGTAGCCTTGGATAACCAGGCGGGATTTCTCATAGGGCTTGGTTGTCTTTCCCTTGACCTCACGTACCAGGCGTGACTTGAAGATCCGGATCTTGCTGTGTAGCCTCTCGTCGTATTGCTCAAACTTGAAGACTCCACGACCTACGAGGTCGCTGATCTCTTGGTCATCAGATGCTTCAAAGGGTGCGCCTGGTGTTGTGATAACTCCATCGTTACGTAGCTTGATAGCTAGCTCAAGATCGTCCTGCTCCTTCTTGGTGATGTACGCGTACCCCTTCCGCTTGTTCTTTGATCCTGGAGGGCGGCCTCTCTTGCGTGGTTGCACTGCCGGTGGTACTGCTACCGGCTCATGCGGCTCATTCAGCGCGTGTGGCGCATCGGGGTCGCTCCAAAGATGGTCCGGTCTGTAGTATGGCTTGACGACAGTAGATCTGAATGTTGTTGGACCATTGACCATATCGACAGTAACGTTGTGGCCGTCTATACTGGCGATCTTGTACGGGCCATTCCAGCCATCACTCTCTCTCCATACTAAGACTTCACTCTGGAGTGGGAGCGCGAGCATGTCTGCAGTGGCTGGTCCATTGCGGGTGTTCAAGGCGTCTGCAACTTGGCGCTCTGCAGTAAGCTTGCGCAGGGCTTTCGTCGCCTTTTGAATAGCCTCGCTGCGCCTAACCATTGAAGGTGCCGGCGGCGACTCTGTAGTCATTCGTGGGTATGCTCCAAAGACTAGTAGAGTCGGGACTAGACCATCGGGTCCAGCGGTGTCATTGACAGCTTTCACGGCCATTTGAAGGATCGCTTCATCAGACATATCGTCTTGGAGCTCGTCATGGAGTATATCCCATGCTCGGCGAAGTGGTGCGTGGTATCTCTCAGTCTTGCCCACCGACCAGTGAGCCTCTGTAGGCACCTGCTTGCATGTAACTCCCATGATCTTTGCCTCAGCACGGAACTCTGCGCTTGCAAAGTTGGTGCCTGCATCATGTGTGATGATGTCTGGTGGTCCTTGATACGTGTCGATCCATAGCATCCGCAGTGCCTGCCATGTCTCCTTAGCTGAGATAGCGCTGAGGAATTTTGCGCCTTGGAAAGCAGTTGAAGAATCAACCACATGTAATACTGGCTTGCCGCTGAGATACATCACATCCACCAGGATCTCATAGTTGAAGTGGTGATCATCCTTCAGAGTGAATTTGAATCGGCGCGGCGCGGAGCTGTGGAGCTGGCAGTGGTGGCAGAATTCAGTGACCTCCTCTAGGGTTCTCTCTTCAAAGTCGTTATGGCCAGCGTCCTTTAAGAGTTTAACTAGTCGCGTGACAGCTGGGTGTCCAAACCGGCGATGGAGCCGTCTCAGCTCTGTCTCAGTGAGAAACACCGTTGCTCTCTCTCTCTTGTTGAGATGGAACCATGGGTGTCCCCATTTGCGTAGAACAGGGATGCGTATCTTGTCCTGAACAAGCTCATCTGTAGTGTTATTGAAGTAGACTTTTAAGCGGTCCATATCTGCAAGGCACAGCAAGAACGGTGTAGGCGCCTCGAGCACTTCGAAGTTGATCTTCCCAATCTCTGTAGAGACCTGCACTGTTCCAATAGACGCTGTAGCCTCGCCTTTTCCGAATTTGATAGATGCTTTCCCAGCTGTAGATGTGTCTATCTTAACTGTTGGATCTTCTCGTGTGAGTGCAAGATACTGCTCTTTGCCAACTGTAGATACGTTGGCAGCGCCTGTATCCGGGAGGATACCTTGGTACAGAGATCGTGTATAGCGGTCCTCGAGCAGAAACTGCGACGCTGGTGCTGACGGCGCGCCTCGACCGTATATGTCGTCGCCAGAAATGTGATGCAAGAACGCCTGGTCTGCAAGGCATTGCTCCTTGAAGAACTGCTGCTCAAAGTATTGTTGTTCGCCAGTGCCGTCGTCATTGTCGTCATCCTCGCAGTCTTCCTCCTCTTTCCAGCCTCTCTGGTTATACTGGCTGGTGTGCTCAATTCCTTCGTACTCTGCAAGGTGTACTGAGAAGTCCTTGGGTGGTGGCGCACCTGTAAAATACAGCATAGAGAAGAACTGCGCACGGGCAGTCTTGCGCTCTTCGTCTGTGTGGTTTGTGGACCAGCATCCTTCCTTCTGGCAGACAAAGCACTTCTTCTTCCAGCGTGGCTTGAATCCACGGCTACTGTCAAAGCTTTGTTCGCCTTTTTGAAATGCGCCTCTAGTTCCGCCTCGGGACCCACCTCGGTTTCTTCCATTGCTGTTGTACCGGCGGTCTAAGTAGTACTGGTTACCTTGGTCTACCTCTGTGAAGTTGACAGAGGTAGTCATAGCGAGTGAGTTTTCAATCGAAGATCGTAGATCTCCAAATAGGACCTCGCATTCTAGAGACGGCCTGTAGAGCGCCATTGCGAACTCTTTAACGCCTCGACATGCTGTGATTACTGTGGTCCGGAGCGCATATTCTCCCATATACTGCTGCCCAAGCGCCCTCTGGCATAACTGGAGTTTGTCTAGCATAATGTCAAGGACCTCATGGAGTGTCTTGTCAGGATTCTCCCTATGGACTTTAGCAAAGGATGTCGTCGTCCAGTCTGCATAGTAGTGACTGTGGTTGACGTCCGTGTCGAAGTGGTTCTTAAGCTTCGTGTATACAGTCAAGAATGTATCTGTCCGCTGATCAACGAAGTGGAGGTAGTAGTCTTGCGCACGGCCTTCCAGGATCCGTGGAAAGACTGCATGGAATTGGTCTGGCTGGATGTCTGCGTGATAGCAGATGCTGTAGAAGATCTTCAATTTGTCGTCTAGGAGGTCGTACGGCTTCCCTGTGTATTTCTTCTCACGATCCCACATCTTTGTAAAGACATTGATTGTCTTCGGATCTAGTTTCCCATTATTAAACTCGATTGGGGGAACTGCCTTGTATGGGTCTGTATCCCCTGAAGGTATAATTGGAGGGACGCTCGGTCCCTTTGGGCGTTGTGGGTATGCTGGCGTGTATTCGCGGAATCTGTCAAAGTTGTTGTACGTTAAGCGAGGTTGATGACTTTGCTGTCGCTGGTCCGCCTGGTGTCGCCCGTCTGCCTGTGGTGTCTGTTCAATTGTCTCTACAAGCGGATCTGCTAGTTGTTGGCTGACCTGGGTACGAGTGCGGGTCTCGTCTTGGACATCGGTTTGTTGATCCTCTGCGTCTTGGTCTCTTGACCTTGCAGAGGTTTGGCTCTGCGCTCGACTCGCTGTCCCTACGTTTGTAGGTTGTACCGATCCCGTAGTGTGTCGTCCTAGTAGCCTCCGCTGTTGCAGCATATACGCCGCTGACCGCTCGTCGAAGGCAGTAGATTGGAACTGATCGTCCGGCCACTTCGGACAATCCTCCTTGCGCAGCAGCTTAGCTACAGCTTCGCTTGGTGGCATGTTAACACGGCCAGTGTACACACCCTTAAAGCGGAGGATCCGCTTTAGTTCCTTAGTATACGTTGCATGCGCGCGCATAAACATAGCTTCAGTCCAGCCTTCAAAGTCCTGACAGAACTCACCAAAGAGCTCTGCGTCTGCTGTCGGCCGGTCTGTGTAGTCTGCGATCGCACGCGCAATGTACGTTGTTGCTGCAGTTTCGTCTACCTCGTCGTCTGGGGCTTCGATCTCATCGTCCCAGATCTTTGGGTCAATGTGACGCCACTCTCTTGCCTTTAGGTTTGTGGTCCCTAGCAACTCCTCTCGTGTGAGTGTACAGCCTCCATTACTGCTTGCTGTTTCGCTCGCCATCTGTTGTTGACGCGTGTCGTGCTGGCTATGTTCGCCAGGGATACGTCGGTTGTCGTAGATTGTTGACGTGTGCCTTGCTGGCTGCGTTCGCCAGGGATACGTCGGTAGTCGTGGGTTGTACACGGGTCAATGGCGCGACCAAGTGGGGGTCGGTGCGTGTATGGACTGCGTCTGGGAACGCTCTGATACGGCTGGAACGGTCGGTCTCAAGCCGGATGAGACGCCTGATACAGCTAACAGTGAACTTAGCACAGATAACTCCGCCGCTGATATAGGCGATCTAGGGAACGCGCGGGGTTATAGGATCTGTCTCTTCTAACCTAACTGTCTGTGACTGCCATGCAATCACTGATCAGTGTTGGTAGGCCTTGTACGATCGTACGGGTGAATAACAACAACGAGGTTCTTCTGGTGACTGGTATTGGTATTGATCTTCTACGAACATAGCTGCTACGAAGGTACACCTAAGCTCTGCGCAAGGTGGGCCGAAGTCGGGCCGAAGTGTCAAGCAGCCGACGTCTCTACCGATACTCACGATTCGACAGTCGTAATACTTTTCAATAACCATTCTCACATAACACGGGGCACACTATCTAAAGTCTGCCTACACAACAGGACAACGAAACCAAACATGCGTTGTAGGGCCAGAGACTCTTAAAGACACATGTATCATGATCATAGCTAACTAATTCTTTTTTAAATAACTATAGGTATTTCAAGAAAGGCAAGAAAGCGGACACACATTTCGTGATGCTCTCTCGTTTTCGAGACATCCAACTATAGAAGTATTTTTTGTAAGTAGAAAAGAGAGGAGAAGAGAGCAGACGCAGACATTCGACGTATAACGAGTATTTTTGGACGCATGAATCATATCGAGTGGGTTTTCTTAGTGCGTAAAGGGAGGCAAAGACGGAGGAGGCAGAGGCAAGGTCATGTATGGCTACATTTTGGTTTTTAGAAAACGCCGGAGATCATGCGTTTGGCGATCTTGATCATTTTTAGGAAGTAAATTTTAGATAAGGGAAGCTTTTAGGTGAGAAAGAAGAAGAGGGGGGAGAGAAGGGAGAAGGGGTTTTTATAGAAAATTGGGAGAAGGAGAGGGAGAGAGGGAGGAGAGCGGACACATATGATCCCTTTCTCGTTGTTTTAGACATCTGATTTGTCTTTCGCAGTTTTCAGAAGTTTCAGTGTAGAAGCGTAGGGAAGAAAGTTGGCGGAAAAGAAAGAGGGAGAAGAGCGGACGCATCGGCCACCGGTGCTTGTGTTTTAGACATATGAATTGTTGCGGATGACTTTTTTGGAATTTTTAGTGTAGAAGAGAGGGAAGAAACCCGGAGAAAGAGAGGGAGAAAGGCGAACATGAGCTTTTTCTCTAGTCATTTGTATAACATACGATGTTTCTCTTAAAGTTTTTAGAAGTTTCAATGTAGAAGTATAGGGAGGGAAACTGGGAGAAGATAGAGAAAGAGGAGGAAGAAGGGCGGACACATAGTTCATCGCCACTTTTGTTTTAGACATTTCGTCCATTACGGTGTTTTTTACTTTTTAGTGTAGAAACATAGGAAGAAACCCAGGAGAAGAGAGAGAGAGAGAGAGAGAGAAGGGCGGACGCATCCAATCGTGGTCCTTGAATTTTAGACATTTCTTGTATTAACACCTCTTTTAATTTTAGTGTAGAAGCGTAGAGAAGAAAGCTAGGAGAAGAGAGGAGGAAGGACATCGATGGCAATGCTTTATATGTCAGACATGCCTCTCTGTGTTGGCAGCTTATTAAATAGAGAGAAAGAGAGAAAGGACATTTACTTCTAGGCCTGCTAATTTTTAGACATAGAAGCTGTACTGGAGTTTCTTTTATTATAAGAGAAGAAGGCGGAAAGGCGAGGACATGTATAAAAAACCCTGCTCATTCTGGTAGAGAAGCGGTAGAGTTTTTGTACCGCGAAATTCTTGGAAGATATGAAACTGTTTTGGTTGTTTTTCTTTAACAAATAGATATAGAGGGGGCAAAAAGACGGGAAGAAGGGAAGGACGCATCAGCAACGTCCTGATTCATTTAGACACATGGGATTTCTGGCTTTGTGTTTTTAGTTTTAAGCGCTGGAGAGAGAAGAGGAGACACAGACATTTTCCCAATCCCATTTCATTTTAAAAATAACTGTACCGGTAAAGCTGTACCGCTAACCACTCCAGAGACATGTATAGCCCCTAGTCTTGTTTTTAGGTAGAGGAGAAGAAAGGTAGTAAA